GATTTTCTTCTTTCTTCTACCCTGAAGTTGGAGGCGATACGTTCCTCCGAAACGTCGGTTAACACAATATCTACATGGCGCCACATCCCAGAAGACAGCTTTCTTCAAGAAGAATACTGTCTTCACCGATACTATTCCTCATTCTTGTATAAAAGTTTCGAAGAAAATTACTGCTTACATCTTCAAGGAAATTTGCTATATTTCTCCAGATCAGAAGGCGTCACATCTCAGATGATAGCAGTTCCCATAGTTACCAGCGTGAGAACCCCAAATTCTCAAGAAACTCAGAGTACTTTCAGTGATGCAGAATTTGGACTTATATGAATTGTAGTGCTTGTTGAATGAAATGTTGTGTCTACTGGTCCGATTCCTTTGCAGGGGTTTTCAGAACACGGATTTAGCCATGTTCATGCACTCGTCAAGTTCAAGTTCCTTTGGTTACGGCTGAGCAGACTGACAAAGGACCTCGGGAGCTGCACGGGCTTGAGTTACGCAAAATATTTCCTCTTCTGCTTCGGGGTTTCCGTCAGTACCAGCTACGGGTTCCTGGTGTCCATCAGAAGAGACTACAATCCGTTCACATACGCACTGTTCATTAGCACCTTCGTTGTTTCAGGGATCCTGTACGCACAGTGCGTCTCAGCTCAAATGGCAACTGATGAAGTGAGTGCCAACTAATGAACAAGAATTATTGGAAGAATTATTCTCCTACTTTCCTTTCATACGAGACGGACCGAATAGAGAACGTTGCATCTAATATTTCTTCTATTGTTGCGTGTTTATTCGTTGCAACGGTAACGTTCTTACGTGCCGTTGCCTAGCAACGACAGTGGAATATATATATATATATTTTATTGCTAGTGGGGTGGGACTAAGTCCCTTGTACTGAGGCTACTTCTGGCCTATTATACCAGCCCCAGGTGATAGGTGAGGGTGATTATGGAGCAATTGGTGGATAGAAGATTGGCAGGGGAAACCGAAGTAGTCGGAGAAAACCTGCTCCAGCGCTACTTTGTCCACCACAAATCCCACTTGACCAGACCCGGGATCGAACCCGGCCCGCCGCGGTGGGAAGCCAGCGACTAACCGCTTGAGCTATGGCGCGGCACAAATAGACTGTTACTCTTGCGTATGGGTCTACAATGTCTCTGAGATTACGTCATCAACCCACAGTGACGCACTTAATTAGAGAATTACTAATTCCATTTAACGGGCGTGAAGATTCGTTGTGATGACCACGTGAAACTCTCTATCCGCTAAATTTGGCACTAGTTTCGCCGACAAGCTGCGGTCGCTCGGTCGGTATAGTTCACTTGAGGACTAAACCCACGGAGTTTGTTTTTTATTAATTAAGACGAGGAGAACCAACGTCGCTGTACAGCAGAACCAGTTGAACACACAGGACTCTTTTCCTTAACGTTACCTAATCAAGGTACGACTAAGCATAAAGCAGCTTGCGGCATGCTTTTTGCTTGTTTCCTCTGCGATCCTGAACTTAGAGGCGATATGTTCATCTGAAACGTCTGGATTTTCAGAACCACGCGGTTTTACAACACACAAGAATTTAATTTTCACAGTTAGGAAGTACACATGGCCACCATATCGATATTTTCAATGACAAAGATTTAGAGAACGCGGTGGTGGGAAAATCATCTCTACCCCTTTATTTATACAGATGCCCGCGATAAGAAGTCGATATATTTTTATATCCTTAATTAAATTAGGGACGAAAATGGATAGAACTGGTAAACAGGACCAAAAATACACATGTTTGTGGTGAACATTAGTAAAAAAAAGTAAAGCTATCCCTGCAACAGGCCGTGAAGGCCCATAGGGTTGTGAGACGTCGAGGCTCCCACATTATCTAGACAAACGAATCACAGATGGCGGTGAGGTTGTCAGCCTTACGCGCCGGCCGAGTTTTACTCCCCAGGAAAATTGTTTAATTAATTCCTGGTACTAATTTCTGTTAGAGGCTGCGTCGAACTCAGGGCCATAGCGCGGCTGGAAGGTTTAGGTCAATTGAAAACAAAAATCCAATGACCTCATCGGGACTTAAACCCACGACCTTCCGGCTTGAAGTGTAGTGCCTCAACCAACTACGCTACCGCGTGCTCTACGGTGAACAATGGTATGGTTCAGAAAATGAAACTCCTTTCTTTCAACATTTTAAAAATTACAAAATTGGTTGTTCAAGAAGTTACTGTGACAGATTTTCTATAGTCTTTTATGGGGCAGAAAACAATTTGAAAAAAATGCTTACATAATTTTCTGTTCTAGTGTTTAATTGTTTGCGAATGGGGCTCGATGCATAACAAGGCCGCATTTCCGAAAGCCAAAATTGTTCTATTTTCTTAATTTGATTTTCTAAGTTCAGTTTGTAATTTGTAACGAAGGAAACATATATTCACGCATTGGCATTTTCTTACAGGTTGGGGCAAATTTTCGAGGACGCCTCCAAGAAATGTTAGAGAACTATCCACATGTTAGCGCTGCGACACATATCGAGGTAGGAGGCTTACAACTCCTGCTATAAGGGCGTGTCCTTCATATAATGTAACATGAAATTTCATAATTTTGTTTGGTATAAACAATCTTGCTCAGGATAGGGACTAGTGGAGGGCTCTTGTGAACACGGTAATGAACCCTTGGGTTCCATAAAATGCTGAGAAATTCTTGAGTAGCTGCAGAATTGGTAAGTAAGTATGAAGTGAGGCAGAAAATACAAAAATGCATAGGTATCGAGACTTTGTTTTCTTTTGTAAAATAGGAAAATTAAAACAGAAATGTTATTTCTATACAGGATGTCACAGGGGGAAATGTCAATACTCAGGGAGGTCACAGTATTTATCATTTTCAGCAAAAAATTGTATGTGTACATGTGTCCTATTCCGAACGGTTTCTGAGATAGAGCTGTTACACTGTACACTGTACAGACGAGCAACACGCCATGTCCTCACACGCGTTGCAAAGTGCATTGATGTTGCCGGTGGAATTTTAGAAAATGTATTATACCAATTTTGTCACTTGGACAACAAATACCAGTATTACAAATAGTACGTAATATCTCTTTCTCGGAAACCGTTCCGAATAGGACACACGTACACATACATTTTCTGCTTAGAATGACCGATACTGTGACCTCCCTGAACATTCATCTTTCTCCTGGGACACTCTACATAACACAGAAAAATATATGCACAAATTTCCAATGTATTTAACCTTTATGTATTTCAGATGGACAGATTTCTGGCAATAATAAACAGTAATCCTCCCGTAATAAACTTCTGCGGGTTTGTGGAAGTAAACAGGGGACTTATCACATCAGTAAGTACACTTAAGTGAATAAGCAACTGACGTGTTACATCAGTAAATAACCTAACTAACCAGTGAATGAAATAAATAAGCATTGTCACGTGTATCCGGAGTAACGTGACTAATAATTGTGGATTCTAGATTTGACGTCACTCCAAAAATTACACTCGATTATAACAGTTCACGCACCCAACTCCCTCGAGATATCGAATCCTTCTATGCATAGCTCTGCGCACTACGTGGAGTCACTGCCGAATCTTCTTCTTCCGTCCAAGTGAAAATCACATTGTGACATTTTCCAAGCGAATTACGGAATTATGGTATTACCGAATTGGTCTTAACTTCGTACAAATTTAAACCGCCGAATTCATTCCAGGAGCATCCCAATGCTGAAGTGCTGAAGACTTTATTTTATGTTATTGTTCCAGCAATCTTTGGAAGTGTTACAATTATTTGTAGTAGTTGCGACTGGTGACGTGTCCAAATAAATCGATTCATCTAATTCAGAACCCATTACCTATTAGCCACGTAACCAGGATACGTTGAAAAAGAAAAAAAAAATATATATATATATATTCTGTCGATCACAGTAGCCGTGAGGTCTAAGGTATGAACTGTTTTCTCTCGCTCGGACGCTGAAATCGTGGGTTCGAATCTTACTTAAGGCATGGATGTCTGGTGTGTGCATGCGTTTATTCTGTGTTTATGGTGTCATGTGCTAAGGTAGAGATCTTGTGACTGTCTGACCACTCATCCAAGGAGCCCTACTGTCTGTGAAAAATGATTAAGAAACTGAATAAAAGGCCAGGGCCCTCAATGGGCTGGAAGAGCCAATGAAGAAGAAAAAAAAAATATATATATATATATGTCGTAAGTCTCTGAATGTTTGATGATCACCGGATGGTTATGTTTTCCACATTTTAAAGATATATTCGATTATACATATATATATACAGGGTGTCCCAGGAGGAATGTGCCAAACTTCGGGAGGGTGTTCCTTATGTTAAAGTATGCCGATATAACCCAAAACACCTATGTCCAAAGTTGAACGGTTACGGAGATAATGGCCCGAGAAAAGTGTGGTCTTCTTGCAGGTCCACGCACTATACGTACCTGTCAGCTGAGACCCTTATCTGTTTGTCCTTGAGTGCCGCGAGTCACACTAGCGTAAGCTCATGCGCTGCCTACAGATTA